GAGACCTCCATCACCTGCAGGGGGCACATTCTCTCTCACGCTGGTGGGGAGTAGGGGTGGGTTGCTGGAAGCCAATTCTAGCATGTCATAATTTCAAGAGTTTCATCAAAAGGTTGATGGAACTTGGGGACTCAATAAGGGCTGAGTCATATATGTTGTCACCTATTGGGAATGGCTGAAAAGGGATGATTGCTTGGCTGCCAGACAGCTCAGGGCATCTTAATCTACATATTATTGCCTCCTACTGGCCAAACACCTGAACAGCCATAGGCTAATTCCCCCCAATCTGACAATAGATTTCGCATACAAAACCCTGACCCTTTGAAGTGTGTATCTCCACCTCCCCTCAGGACAATTTGTGTTAATAAAAAGCATGGTGTCCTGAGACAGGAGATCTTAGTTCCTTTTAGCTAAGCTCCTCTGACCCCCAAATGCCTTTCAAAATTATGCTTCGTCTCTGGACTCTTTAAGTTACACACACAGCCTTTCTCCAGATTGCTGAACCCTTCTAGATGCTGGAACAAGAACCTGGCATGGGTCGTTCCAAGGAGCGGTGCAGAACGCAGATGTCACACACCCTCCTGCTGAGGAGTTCCCACCTGCCACCATCCTGGCCTCGGATTCGATCTCCATTCGCAGCCCTTAAGGAAGGATGACAGAACTTCCCAGAACTCACCTGGAAATGCAAGGAACCGATTGAAATCTCCTCCCATTTCTCTTCTTCAAAAGCGCTTGCTCCACTGGTAATAATATTGGCACGGAAACGTGAGATGAGCTCTCTCATTGGGAATAATTCCTCCCTTCCGCTCTCATCACTGTTGAAGACAGGCCAAAAAGGGAGAGGGGTGGGGGGTGGATAATTACATCGTTGTAACAATTCAGTGTTTCCACCACTCAAAACCTGACTCATGGAATGTGCTCTGGCCTGAGGCCTGGATGGCCAGAATACGCTTTTACCATGAGGCCAAGCGGCACCGACATGTTAGATTTCAGTGGTCTCCCTCGGGATATGGTTCCACATCGGGAGAGGCCCACAGGATGTGGAGCAAAGGGTGAGTAGATCTTTGTGTAAGACGTGGCGGATTTTGGAAACCAGGTGAACAGAGGTTGAGTAAATGAACTGAGAAGACACCAGTTCTGCAAGGTGAGTCAGGATACGGCATTGAAAGAGTGTCCAGCTTACTTACCAAGACATCACACTCTTGGGGAATATTAAAACATCATAAAGCAACGCGGTTGATATTTATTTCCTAATTTCCATTCTGTTTGCAATTTAACTAGCATATGCTATTTTTCTAATTCTTGTGTAAAGGTTTTGTTTACTGCCAGGAGGTCCTGTAAAATGGCTCTCTGCACCTCCCTGCACATACACACACACACACACACACACACACACACACACACACACACCAGAGAGAAAGCACTATCTATGCTGGAAGTCTGGATACTGTTGACCTTCAGTGGGGTTGGCTAAGGGGTAGAGGGAGCTTTCTGAGGTACTAGAAATGTTCTCTACTTGACCTGGGGTGGTTATATGGAAGGTCCATCAGTAAAGTTCACTGAGCTGTGGACTTAGGATTTTGCACTTTGTTGTACTCAACAAAAGTATTTTTTAAATTAAGTTGGGAGAAATCCTTGAGTATGTTGGGAGTTTTCCCTGGAGTCAGGATTGAAAGGCTCTGGGGGAGGAAGAGGTCCACAGCTGTGTCCCAGTCCCCTTCCAACAGTGAGTGGAGGGCGGAATGTCGGGAGCAGGATGGCTAAGTCTAGCTTTGCCTCTAACCAAACAACTCCCACGACCTGTGAGGACCACAGTTTTCTCATCCAAAATGAGAGGGTTAGCACTTGCCAATCCTAAAACCCTTTGATTATGGATTTGCCCTCCTGGTTATAAACCTTCCTTCTGTGCTTTATAAAAGGGAAAGTGTTATGTCCAAAAACTGTCCTGTCAACATGTACATGGCAGCGGCCAGCAAATCTGAAAATAGAGCAGAGATACACCAACCAAGGCCCCAGGGACCGTCCCAGGTATTAGCCCTGGGACTATTTCTCTTACCTTTGCTCACCCGTCCCACCCATCCCCGTGCACGAAACCAACTGGTTGGAAACGTGGTTCCCTCCTGGTAGGAACCAGGGTTGCAGCAAGCCTGTCTCACCTCCTATCTTTCTATACCAAGAGCCCCGGGAAACCGCAGACCCACTTCCTCCAGCGCTCTGGGTACCTGGAGAGGAGGGTCACTCAGTGCAGCTAAAACTCAGTGAACACCAAGTACCAGCCGTGCCACACGTCTGCTCCCATGAGGGTAAGGTAGGCCATGGCAAGGGAACAGCGTTGTATGATTTTGCCAATGACTATACTTCAAACAGCCTAGCTTTGTCACATTTATTACTCTGTACTTGTATATTTCTGCACACAGTGTGCACACAGATGCACAGGGGCATGTGGCACGTGAGAGGCTCAAGTGCTGGAGCACCGGCTCAGGTGCTGACAGGCGTGTGCACACCTCTCTCTGTCCTGGGGACTAGGAATGAGCAGTCCAGCTCTCTCATAACAGTGATTTCCCCCCTAATGGTCTGATGACCTTGGACAGCAATTTCTTCTAAACAACGAGGGGGGTTGGACCAACCAAGACCCCTTGTAGAGCTGCTGACCTCTCACTACTGCCAGGGCCCTTGGGAGAGAGAGCACTAGGCGGGAGTGGACAGGCAGGGGTGCCGGATCTGTCTGGTGGTACCAAAAGTCACATCTACAATCACAACTGTAAACACTTTCTAACCACTCTTCTTTTCCCTCATGAGGACTGCGGAAGTAGAGCAAGGCTCTTCGGGGACAGAAGACAGTGGGAGGGTGGGCAATGAAATTAGAACAAGTTGGTAGAAATTCCATTATAGCAAATGTTAAGAAATGGAATGACTAAAAAATGAGAATTGGGGTTCTCTACTAAGCATCTTGAGGGCATCAAGAAGGACATCGGAAGACAAAAGAGAACCCTCAGAAAGATTAATGGGGACTTCCCTAAAGGGCCTTGTGATTTCTCTGGTCTCATGAAGAGTCTGGACTCCAGGACTCCAGGAACTCTCTCCCTAGGTAGGTGCCAGGCTACATGCAGGGTAAGTAGTTACACCTCTATGTTATTCCCGAGGTAAATAGCAAATAGTAAAAGGGTCTTTCTTACCTGGCGTTTAATTGCTGCTGAAGTTCCAAAACACTGGATCTGTTTATCAGCAGATACTGGGCCTCATTCACCAGAGAAAGAGTGGCTGGTGTTCCAGCAGACTGCCCTGGAGGGGATGGAGTGGGTATTTAAAAGAAGAGACCTGGAAACAACCCAGGAGTTCACGGGTAGACGACTGGGTAAAGAAGATGTGGTCCATGTATATACAATGGAATATGATTCAGCCATAAAAAGAAGGAAATCTTGCCATTTGTGATGCATGGGTGGACCTAGCGGGCATCATGTTAAGTGAAATAAGTCAGACTGAGAAAGACAAATACCATATGATCTCACTTATATGTGGAATCTAAAGAACAAAAGCTAAAACCATCTCCCAGATACAAGAAAACAAATTGGTGGTTGCCCGAGGCAAAGGGTGGAGGTAAGCAAAATTTGTGAGGGGGTAAGGGGGGTCAAAAGAGACAAACGTTCAGTTATAAAATAAATCCTGGGCCCTGACCGGTTTGACTCAGTGGATAGAGCGTCGGCCTGCAGACTGAAAGGTCCCGGGTTCGATTCCGGCCAAGGGCATGTACCTTGGTTGCGGGCACATCCCCGGTGGGGGGTGTGCAGGAGGCAGCTGATCGATGTTTCTAGCTCTCTATCCCTCTCCCTTCCTCTCTGTAAAAAAATCAATAAAAATATATTTTAAAAATAAATAAATAAATAAATAAATCCTGGGATGTAATGTATAGCATGGTGACTAGAGTTAATAATACTGTATTGCATATTTGAAGTTGCTAGAAGAGTAAATCTTTAAAATTCTCATTACAAGAAAAAACATTTTGTAACTGGTTGTGGTGATGGACGTTAACTAGGCTTATTGTGGTGATAACTTCACAATATATGGAGATATTGAATCCATTATGTTGTACACCTGAAACTAATATGTTATATGTCAATTATACCTCAATAAAAAAAATTTTAATGAAATTAAACTTTAAATGTTTTAAAGTAAAATAAAAGAAGAGCTGCTTTTTTGGACTGCAAATGAATCATGCTCCATTGACCATCATGTTTTAAAAATAGAGACTATCTCTACAAGTGAAAAAGTGGTGCCCTTGAAATAGTACAACCTGTCTTAAATTGTCTCAAACCTTTCAAAAAAAATGAGCTCGTAGAATACTCCACTACTTATCTGAAAAGTAACAATAATAAAATGCTGCAGTGAAACTGCCAGCACAGACTTGGAGGCGACATTCAGAGGAGGAGGGATGGGCAGCAGGTGGAGCAGGGCTGGCCCGGGACAGCAGGGCAGCAGGCCTCCATGAGTCCACGGGCCCAAGAAGCTCTCCTGAATTAGGGGAAAGCTGGTTTTTGCCCTTGGGAAAGTGTGAAATAATTGACTTCAGAAATAAATAATACATGTTTAAAACTACTGAAAGGGAAAATAAAAGAGTGAAAGAAAGTATGAAATGTGCCCAGCACTGCTGGAGCCTGTGGCCCAGCTCTCACCTCCCATATGGGGCACGCCATCGCTGTCTTTATCCAAGATGTGGATGGAAAGGGTTGGCTGGGCCAAAGCCTAGTGAGGTCCCTGCAAACAGGGTCTGAGGACCCCAGAATACACGAGAAAGGATCCTTGTACAGAATCACCTTCCAGACCCTCCACTCCCAAATGCCCTCTTTGCTACAAAGGCTCTGTCAGAGAAGGGGGCGCACGCCAGCCCCTCCACAAAAGGCCTTTCTCCCCCTTCACAGAGGGAAGGCTCACCTCTCCTGGGCACCCTCCCCTGGGGGCTGACAGTCTCCAAGGCGGAAAACAAAAGCCCTTTCAAATCCCTGGGGTCTGTGCTGAGATAAGGAAACTTCTCTAAAGCCTGGGTGAATGATCGGTCTGTAGGTCAGATGGGCTCCCATTCTTTGCTCTCCACAAAGCTGTCACACCTGATTAAGTTGTCAAGTGACATGACTAAAGTCATCTTAATGTGAGATCCCTGTGTCTCAGGAAAAGGTTTAAGTGACAGCGGGTCAACCAACCGCCTTTCATCCCCAGCTCTTTATTCACTCAGATAAGGCTTTTCAGAAGAGAACCAAGGCTGAGCACCAGCTATGCTGGTCATAGGTGGCAGTTACTCATTAATATGGGAATTAATGGCGGGGAGCCCAGCCATCTCATTAAGAGATTTGTTTTCAACAGTGTTTTCACTGTCTTTTGAAATTTATAATATGTAGTTGTTGCTTTGATCAACTGTATACTAGTAAAAACTGTGATAAGTCAACCTATAAGAAATTTCCTAACACTTGGACTCTTATGATCACAGTAAACTCTACAAATGTTTATACATTCCAATTTATATAGGATCTTGGTTTTAGATAAATATGATAGGGTGATCAAGGAAAGATTTTCAAGCATAAAATATGTAACACTGAGATAAAACCCCATTTTAAAAAGTAGAATGGAAATATAAGTTGAAGAAGAAAAAGGAAAGATATAAAATTTCTGACCATTAAAAGACAGTTTGTGTGTGTGTGTGTGTGTGTGTGTGTGTGTGTGTGTGTGTGAGTGTGTGTGTGTAGTGAATATTCATGGAATCAAATCACTACGGTATTGAGATTCCACTCGCTAATGTTTAAAAGGATGATCTATGAGTTTTCATTTAAATGACCACATTTATAATTTGCTAGAAATAGCCTAGACCTCTACACCCTGGCCCAGGCAGCTGACTCCTCAGCCCTGTGAGAGCCCAGCAGGGTGGGGGAAAAGGAAGTCCAGAAGGTGGGGCTGCTGCTTTCCCCCAGGCTGACTCCAAGGAGGGGAGTGCTCCGCCCAAGAAAGATGACATCTGTGGTGTGGGAGCGGGACTCAGCACAGGGATCCTGGCGGCTGTCCCTTCAGCTCTCTCCCCAGAGCCACAAACACCAGTCTCTCCTCACAGGACTGTAGTCTGCTCCGCACTCCCTCTGCCAGAGCCCAGGGTGAGTTGCTGCGACCAAGATTTTGAGTGCTGGCTCTTTAAGAGGGCACCTGTGTCTCTAGCAGACTCTGTCTTTCCTTAGAGAACAGAATCCCAGCTGCTTTTCACAGCCAGATGTCACATGGTGCCTCTTCCTGGTGCTGGGGCTCTGGGCTAAGGAGCCCAACATGTGGTTGAGACCCCAGGCTTCTCAGGGGAACCTCTGCAGCTGAACATCCCTCCGGAATCTCAGCCACCAGCCCTGGTGCTCACGGGGCCAGCCCTTATGTCTCCACCCTTCCTACCAGTCTCCTTGTGGCTGCTTCTGTAAATCCTTGGTTATAAGACTTCTGTTCAGCTAGTCTTCAGTTGGTTATCCAGGGTGATTGTTTTATAATTTAGTTGTAATTCCAGTTTGGTCCTGGGAGGGGGTGAGTGTACCTTCCACCTATTCTGCAGCCAGCTTGGGTTCTTCTTTTAACTTGTTTTTAACATTTAGATGACAATGTAAAAATGTAGGAGGAGGTAATGTAGCTTTAAAACAATTCTTCTAAGGTGTACCAATGCAAATATGTTTGAAGACCTGAGACCTGGACCATCAGAGATCTCACCTCCATAAATGGCATCCTTGAAGTGGAAATAGTCACAAGCTGGCACTCCCTGGTCCTGTCCAGTGCAGGAGACAGAGTTCTCCCTGTGCCCACCTTTGCCTCAGCCAGGTCCCATGTTCCACTAGGACAGTCATAGCCATCTCCTGCCTATCCCCTTCCCTCCTCTCCCTCTCAGATGCCGCTCCCCATACCTTGCCAGGAGTGTCCTTCTAATACACACAGCATCACAAAACCCCAGAGCTTCGAATTCTTCAGTGAGTTCCCCCAACCACAAGCTAGCGCTTCCCGACTCCTCAGCTGCACATTCATCCCTTCAGCCCAGCTCTGCCCCATTTATCCCTGAGCCACATCCAACCTTCCTAAACCCTTCTCTGAGCCCATGAAACTCCACGCCCTGCCATGCTGCTCCCAGGTAACCTTCCTGCCTTTCTCTGCCTAGAAAACGCCTACTCTCCTGCTAAGATGCAGCTCCAAACTCACCTCTTCCCTGAAGCCCTCCATGACTCAGTGCAGGTGAGTCACAGACCTTTACTGTAGTGTCGCCTCTAAACTGAAGGCCCACGTCCATTGCTTAATAATCTCAGTCAGCCTCCTGAGGACCCGGCTAGGCCCCAGGTAAACAGGAAGCGTTATGAATAACTGGAACGTATTAAATAAGATCATGTATAAGGGGAGCACAGGTCCTGATGAATCCTACTCCTGTGTGTCTCTACTCATGAAAATGCCCATTTCTCTCCCATTTAATCATGACTCTGAGCTAATCCAGGCCCAGGCACCACCAGCTCACCTCCTCAAAAAATGAGTGTAAGTCTATCCCCCTTCTCCATCACATAGCAACTCAAATTCTTGAATAGCTCATGACATGAAAAACTGTCAGAAGTTGTAAAGATCTAAGTAGATTACATCCTTTGGTTCTTCTCTCCATCATTCATTTTCGGGGATTTATAGGTTCACCTGTGCAGGTCCCAAGACCCCAGTCTTGGTCCCCATATGATCAAAATGCTATTTGGGTTTACAAGCCAGTCTCTCTGAGAGCTAATCACTAGGGCAGGTCATCCCTGCACAAACCGGAAATGCAGCAATGACCCATGTCTTCCTTCATCTAGTATTTACTGAGCAACTACTATTTGCCAGGTGCTGTTCTAAGCATGGGGGATGCAACACTGAACAAAGCAGACAAAAGTCCCCGCCCTCACAGCGCTTATGGTCTAGTAGAGGGAAGGCCGGACATGCACAGCATAGCAGTCAAATGCATGGCCTAGAGGAGGTGAACAGTGCCACAGAGAAAAATAAAACAGCGAAGGGAGCTGGGGAAGTTCAGGAGAGGACTTTGGAGAGAAGTCAGGCAAGGCTCCCTGAGAAGACAGAATTAAACAGACGCCTGAAAATGGTCTGTTCCTCCTCTATGGTACTGTGAACGCGAAAAGTACTTTGCTCTCTGCTGTCTCACTTCACCCTAATAGCAGCTTTCAGCAGGAAAACTGTCAAACGTGTTCAAGACTAAGTAGCTGAGGTCAACAGAAGTTGAGGCATCAAGGATTTGCCAAGGCCTCCCACCATTTGGAGACGGAGCCAAGACTAGAAACTCAGGTCTCCTTAGGACCTCGCAAGTTACCAATGTTTTCATCTAACAAAACGGAAGTGTGCTTCTCAATACACGTGGCTGAGGCAGAGGGCTGAGCAGAGGCGAAGCCGTGGTCTGGGAGCCCACCCCGGCCTCTCAGGGTTCTCAGGAGGCCACGCCTGGGTCCTGCTGACCTGGGGCTCGGGGACCTTTCTGAAGAAGGCGGCCGGGCCACCCCACTTTCTGTACGTGAGCAAGCTGCCCTGTGACTCCGCGTCACGGGCTGACCTGGACGCATGCAAAGGCACCCCCGGGTTCCTGTGCCCTGAGAACAATCCCAAATGCCATACCTTTGCCATGGCTCTTCTTCGCGTTTCTCTGAAAGTCCGAGCTTTGTTTGATCAAATGACACGGACGGCCCAGAAACCTTGACAACCAGCTTGAAATTTTTTCTCCACAATCATGAGTATTTACCCTGACCAAAAAAAAAAAAAAAGGAATGGTGAATGTTGTATTGTATTATTTAATAACAACCTAAATGGCAAAGAGTAATATAATATTTTATAATAATCATTGAGCCCCGGCCAGAAGGAAGCCTAGAGTGGCAGGCGTGCTTAGGAAGCTGCAGGGAGATTCCCAAGGCACAGCAAGACCTGAGACCCGGGCTTGTGCAAAGCTTTAAGATCAGATAAAAAGGTTTAGAAGTTCCTCTTGAAACACCTTCTTTAAATTATAGCCACTGAGAAAACAACCTTGGAATCTGGGACTTTCCAGAGCATTATCTTGCTCTAAGAAGCCCTTGTACCCAGACATGTGTCTTGGTCTTTCACTATGGGCCTGACTACAGTCTTTCCTCTCGCAGCCAGACCTCATGGACTGACATGTTTGGTTTGTGAAAGAACATCACTGTGCCTATAAATCACCAATGTAAGTACATTTATTGATCTGTTGTTGTTTTTCAAACTCCGCAACCTTCTAGAATTTTTAAATAGAATTCCGAATTTAAAATTTTTTTAATCTGTACATCACCAGAATTAATAAGGGAAAAATTGCTAATATCTTACCCTGGGATTATAAGACCGCTATTATTGAAAACCTATCTTATCCTTAATTTTTACTCAGAAAAATAGTTGCCTTTCTTTTCTAGAAAGGGAAGAGGAGGAAACCTCGCTTTGTAGCACATTCGCACTAATTCCGTTTTCATTCTATTAAGTCCTCTCAGTTCCTAGCTTAGCCTCTCCTACCTGAAAGCTTTATTCACCAGAAAAATGGCCTCCCTCTCAGATGCAGCTAAATGACAGTTCAACCAGGGATGAGCTGGGGATGCAACTGCAGGTGCTCCTCAATGGCTCTATTTCTCTCTCTGAGATTTACAGTGGTGACGGGCAAAAATGCTCACCCGAGACTCGGAGCCCTCACGTGTGTGTTCCCGTGAACATTTGCTGGCACAAGCGCAGTGGAAGGATGCCCACTGTGCTCGTTCTCGGCTCCAGGATGGCCCAGTGCCCCTCACGCTGAGTCATGCCCAGCAGGATCCTCACACTACACCTGCATACCTTTCCTGAGGTGCAGCCCTTCATCACCCAGTGAGACCCAGGGGCCCTAAAAATGTGAACCCAATTTAGATACAACTTTATTATTTCACGTATCATTTCATGATTTACATGGTGAGGCAGTGCAGAAGTAAATGCAGTCAATGCCATACTGTGCAGTATCGACTGAGCACAAACACCCACTAATGAGCTGATTGTGTCAACTAATCGGCAATTAGCAATTTAAAAGTGCTCTACATATAAATCCTAGTGCACTGTTATCGTTAACTGTTTTAGTATTGGGGTGTAAATTGGTTGGGGTATCAGATGGGCTGGGTAAGTTTCCACAATGAGAAAATTTGCTCCTGCACATGTTTTGGGGCCCAGATTAGACTTAGTCAATATATTCAATAAATAGATTTATAAACATTCACAATCAAAAATAAAATAGAAATGCTATTATTGCATTCCATCTCATTATCCACATTTCCTAGAATTTAGCCAATGATTTATCATCAGTAACTCAGATTAGGCAATAATCCACAACTATATGAAATATAATTTATGGGTTATCACCTGAAAACTATACAACCTGAGGGATGTGACATCCCCTTACCCTCTGGCTCCACATCCAATCCATCCACTGGTTCAGGTGGGTCTACCTCCGGGATATATATCCGACACCCGCCTGGTTTCCCCCTGACCCTTCCTCTTGTCTCAGCTGGCCTCCTCACTCGCACCCTCACCAGCTTCCAACTATTCAACACCCATAAGCCAGTCTTTTCAAAAGAGGAATCAGGTCCCTACCCTCACCTCTCTACAGCAGCCACCCCACCCCAGCCCCTCCATGCCTCCCCTGAACGGTTCCTCGGTTCCTCACTCACCCTGCCTCCCCCACAGCCTGTTCCAGGCTCTGCAGGAAGCAGCACAGACTGAGCCCCGCTCTCCCCAGTGGGCATTTTAGCAGGAGGGACAAAAGGTAAAGGTTGGGTAACAGTCAATGCTGAGGAGAAGAATGCAGCCGGGCAGCAGCGAGGGAGGCTGGTTCTGTGGGAGGCCGGTGCCCCTCTGAGAAAGGGGCTTTTCAGCGGAGACCAGGTGGCAGTGAGACTGATGGAGGTGAGGGAGCAAGCCCCTTGGAGGTATAAAGAGGGGAAGAGCATTCCAAGCAGAGGAAACAGGAGTGCAAAGCCCTGAGAGGGAGCCAGGGTGGTGAGTGGAGTGCACCATGGGAGCAGCAGTGGCAGTGGGTGGGATGGAGGACTCAGCAGAGGCCTCGTCACCTGCAGGTGGACCTGAGATTTCCCCTGCTGCAGTCTCACCTGTCCGCACAGACCTTGCTTTGGCAAATCTGAACCCATTCACCGTTTTCCTCAAGAGGCACCTCTATAGGCTCCATTCCTGATGAGCAAAGGTTAGAGACAAATGTGTTACCAAGCAAAAAGAACAACTATGTTAGTTGAAGTCCATTATTATGAAATTTACAAGAATCTTAATAACCCTGGAAACTGGTTGAATCAAATAAGTGTCTGGGTCTTGGAAATCTTCTAACAGATTCTCTTCAGCATGATCAGTGCCCAACAGCTGTGCATTGAGCGTATTTAGCAGGGGATCCTGCAGTGGGCAGCCACATTCAGAGTCCCAGAAACACTGTAAATTCCTTTGAAAGTTTTCTCTACCTCTGGATGACTCCACATCCCAAGGTCATTGTTCTCTAAGCTACCTAAAATTCTTTAGAAATAGACAGGCAGGCGTGAAGGCTCATTCTACAAAGATATCAGCATAGAGTGTCAACTCTCGGTAGCCCCTAAGAGTCAGCATCAAATTAGATTCCTGCACCAATCATCATGATTTCAAAGAGTCTGTTATGTCAATGGGGTTGAGAAGCTATTTTTTAATTGTTATAGATACATCATACATATAAAGGAGTATATAACACCTGTATGTAACAGGTTAAAGAATAATATTAATTAACACTGATGTATACACTACTCAGAGAGTAGAAAGTGAAATATTCCACTCAAATCTTTCTGTGTATTATTATCCTGGATATCTGAACTTGAACAAGAAAAATACAATAAAAGAAGGTAATATATCAATCTCACTAATAAAAATAGGTATAAAAATACTAAAAAAAAATCAGCAATCCAAATGTATCAACAAATCATTGCCAAGTAGTTTTTTCTCTCCCCCAAGAATGCAAGAATACTTCAGTACTGGACAGTCTGCTAATGTAAGACATCACACTCCTAGAATATAGGAGAAAAATATAACCAACAGATGCAGAAAAACCATTCAATAAGAAATGACTATTAGTCATGACAAAACTTTTGGCTAAATAAGAAAAGAACTACTTAACCCAGTAAATCAAATCAGTGAGCATCATTTTTATTTTTGAGACCTTAGAACTATTCTATTCAAATCAGTAATAAAGAAGGATATCTTCCATCACTGTTACAACATTATACAAGAAGGCCTAGCCAAGAAGTAAGATTTTTTTAAAAAAGAAAAAAAAGCCTACCGGCAATGGCTCAGTGGTTGAGCATTGATCTATGAACCAGGAGGTCATGGTTCAATTCCCGGTCAGGGCACATGCCCAGGTTGTGGGCTCTATCCCCAGTGTGGGGAGTGCAGGACCCAGCTAATCAATGATTCTCTCTCATCATTGATATTTCTCTCTCTCTCTCTCCCTCCCTCCCTCTCTGAAATCAATAAAAATATGTCGTTAGAGCCAAAGGTGGGAAAATGGGTTCCTTTTCACCATGCAGCTGTCAGAGTGGCCTATAGACCCACGTGAGAGGAGGATAAGGCTTTTCCTCCACCAAATATTGAAATGATCCAAAAGTGAAATGATGCCTAGAAGAGACAACAGAAAGCTTGTTCCTTTTGTGTTGTGGGAATTTTCTGGGGAAAGGTAAAGACCTGAGGGTCCAATCAGAAACTAAAGAGGCATAACTTCTGGAATTACGTGATGTGCTTTTCACTTATATTCCTTTCATATCCTTCAGTCATCATAATACAGGGTGGGTAAAAGTAGGCTTATAATTGTTTGTATGGAAAAAGACAGGCAAGATATGATTATTACAACAGCTTTATTAACTCAAAAGAATGTCACAGTGGCACCGTGCACTTAGGTACAATCTCATAAATGCTCAATTGCCTGCCTGCATTCTTTACACGTCCTTGCAGTCTTTGGAAATCAGTAAAGAAACCCGAATTTCAGTGACCTGCTTGGGTCAGCCCCACTGCCCCTTGAGGTGGTTGAAGTCAAACCTACTTTTGTCTCTACCCTCCTCCACCCCGCCTCTGTATGCACTGCATGTTTTCATTCTTTCTGCTGGCTTTTATTATAGACTAGAGGCCTGTTGCATGAAGAGATTCGTGCAATAGGCCTTCCCTTCCTCTGGCTGCCGGCACCAGTTTTCCTCCGGCACCCAGAACCCAGGCCTTCGCTCCGGCCGGAGCCGTCTTAAGTCTTCGCTGCTCTGGCCGGAGCCACCTTCAAGCCCTCGCTGCTCTGGCCGGAGCCGCCTTCAGTCTTCGCTCCGCCGCTTTGCGCCTACATATGCAAATTAACCGCCATCTTTGTTAGGTTAATTTGCATAGTCTCCTAATTGGCTGGTGAGCATAGCAAAGGGACGGTCAATTTACATGTTTGTCTATTATTAGGTAAGACTAGTAGCATACATAAAATTACAGACCAGCTCTATCCAGTGGAACTTTCTGTGATATTAGAATATACATTCTCTGCAGGATCAGGCCTAAACCGTCAGTCGGACATCCCCTGAATGGAACTTTCTGTGATGTTAGAATATTCATTCTCTGCAGGATCAGGCCTATACCGTCAGTCGGACATCCCCTGAGGTGTCCGGGATTGCAAGAGGGTGCAGGCCGGGCTGAGGGACCTCCCCCCTATCCTGTGCATGAATTTCATGCACCAGGCCTCTAGTTTATATATAAAAGACAATATTATATTACATAAATTCTCCTGAACTGAATATATGGCAGTACAATCAAAATATAATTACAAATATATAATTGCAAAATACATGTGCTGTTCAACACTGTAACCACTAGCCACATGCAGCAATTTAAATTAATCAAAATTAAATAAAATTTATAATTCAGTTCTCTTGTCCGGCTGGTCCCATTTCAAGTGTTCAGTAGCCACATGTGACTGGTGGCTACCAAAAGGACAATATAGAGAATGAATATTCCACCATCACAGAAAGTTCCACTGGACAGAGCTGGTCTGTAATTTTATGTATGCTACTCGTCTATAATAAAAGCCAGCAGAGAGAATGAAAGCATGCAGTGCATACGGGGGCGGGGTGGAGGAGGGTAGAGACAAAAGTAGGTTTGACTTCAACCACCTCAAGGGGCAGTGGGGCTGACCCAAGCAGGTCACTGAAATTCGGGTTTCTTTACTGATTTCCAAAGACTGCAAGGACGTGTAAAGAATGCAGGCAGGCAATTGAGCATTTATGAGATTGTACCTAAGTGCACGGTGCCACTGTGACATTCTTTTGAGTTAATAAAGCTGTTGTAATAATCATATCTTGCCTGTCTTTTTCCATACAAACAATTATAAGCCTACTTTTACCCACCCTGTATTATGATGACTGAAGGATATGAAAGGAATATAAGTGAAAAGCACATCACGTAATTCCAGAAGTTATGCCTCTTTAGTTTCTGATTGGACCCTCAGGTCTTTACCTTTCCCCAGAAAATTCCCACAACACAAAAGGAACAAGCTTTCTGTTGTCTCTTCTAGGCATCATTTCACTTTTGGATCATTTCAATATTTGGTGGAGGAAAAGCCTTATCCTCCTCTCACGTGGGTCTATAGGCCACTCTGACAGCTGCATGGTGAAAAGGAACCCATTTTCCCACCTTTGGCTCTAACGACCATGATCCTCTGCTGCAGGTCAATGCGGGGCTGGACCAGGCACAGCCGCGGCTCCTGCTTCTGACTCAGGCAAATGCCGTTGTGGTTCACAACCATCCAGCTCCGGTCATACAGCAGCCCTTGGTGTCCCACAGGCCACTGCGTCACCTAAACAAAAAGGGAAGCACATTATAGGTCAGAGCTCCTCAGCAATGGCCTTCACATTATTGGGCAGTGGCTGCGCCCATACAGCTGGACTTCAGGGATTCAGCACATGCTCCTGAAGGAAGAATGAGGAGGAAGAAAGTCAAACCAGAGGACAATGCAAAGGACCCAGACACCTTCCACTCACCCTACACACCCACCCTTCTCCATCTCAATCCGTTTCTTCAGTAGGTGAGGCATGTGCGCGGTACCGCACCCAAATCCCTCCTCACCACCCCCCACTCTTTCTCTCCGTTCCTCCAGTGGACCAGGCTCTTTCTCACCTCAGGGTCTCCTCACATGCTGTTCTCTCTGCCTGGAATGCTCTTCCCCCTCTCTCTGTATGCCTGACTCCCAGGTCTCAGGTTAAATGTCCCCTCTTCAGGAAGCCTTTCCTGCCACCTCCAAATATAATCTAAGTGCCCCACTGCAGTGAACTAAATGTCTGTGTCCCCCCAGAATTCATATTAAGAGTCTAACTCCCGATGTGAAGTTGTTGGGAGGAGGAGCCTTTAAGAGGTGACTCAGTCACAAGGGTGGAGCTCTCATGAATGGGATTAGTGCCCTTTTCAAAGAGGCCCAGAGAGTTCCCTCACCCCATGTTAGGACACAGCAGGAAGGCAGCTGTCTGTGAACCAGGAAGTGGGTGCTCACCGGGCACTAAATCTGCCTGTGCCTACACGTTGGTTGTCCAGCCTCCAGACTGTGAGGAATAATGTCTGTTGTTCATTAGCCACCCAGCTGGCAGGTTTGCTCTAGCCGCCTGAATATACTAAGTCGCCCACCCACCAGGATTCTCTCTGGCATCCCCACCTTCGCCGTCTTGGCCTTCATCAGCAGTGTCATTCCATTCACTTGGTGATGTTTGGTCTCTGTCTATGTCCCTTCTGAGACAGTGCCCCTCCCCGCCCCACCACCAGGGAAGGAACCATTTCCATTTTGCTCATCACTGTCCACCAGGCTCTGGCCCACAGCCTGGCAGGTAGCAGGTGTTCAGTGTGTCGTTTTTGAAGGAGCAGAGGGATGGAAGACCTTGAGCAATGTACGAAACCCTACTGAGACTCAGTGTCCTCATCTGTAAAATGGAATAGTAATTGCTGCCCGTGCTGCTGTGCGATGTAGCTGTCCCACGGAACAGGACCCATCTCTGAAGACAGTCCTGTCCGCAAGGGCACCTGGAGTCCCCACCTGCCTCCGTTTTGAAGTGGAGGTGAACTTGCTTGTTTATGGCTCAGCCTGGAGGGCAGGCTTTTGTGGGACACCCCGAAAAGCAGGTGACAAACAGCCCTGACCCCCAATTGTCTGACCAAGAGCCAGAGAGCCTATCACCCAAGAGACTTGGGATTCTGGGATCTGGACCTGGGACTTGGAGACACATAGATGACAAAGGCAGCCTCACTTTGGCCACAGCCGGGGGAAGGGCGGGAGGGCAATGCCAAGGCAGGCACTCCTGTCTCCCAGCTCAGGTGACCCCAGGCCAGCTGCTTTTAAGACAGAGCATAGTTCATGTCCACGGGAGGGCTGAGGGGAACAAGTTACACAAGGAGTCACAGACCTGGGTTCAAATCCCTGCTCTGCCCTGTCAGACCTGGGTAAAGCGCTTCACCTCAGTGGCCTTCGGGCTCCATCTCTACAAAATGGGGATGATATTACCATGCACCTCATATTATTGTTTTAAGAATCAAATGAAACAAGGCACATAAAATGCCACATTAGGGAGGCAGCCCATGCATTCGCTGAAAGCTGTATCCATAATTATTAACAGTAAGCAGGTGGGCCCTAGCCGGTTTGGCTCAGTGGATAGAGCATCCGCCTGCGGACTGAAGGGTCCCAGTTTGATTCCGGTCAAGGGCACATGCCCGGGTTGTGGGCTCGATCCCCAGTAGGGGGTGTGCAGGAAGCAGCCAATCGATGATTCTCTCTCATCATTGATGTTTCTCTCTTTGTATCCATAATTATTAACAGTAAGCAGGTGGGCCCTGGCCGGTTTGGCTCAGTGGATAGAGCATCCTCCTGCAGACTGAAGGGTCCCAGTTCGATTCCGGTCAAGGGCACATGCCCGGGTTGTGGGCTCGATCCCCAGTAGGGGGTGTGCAGGAAGCAGCCAATCGATGATTCTCTCTCATCATTGATGTTTCTCTCTCTCTCCCTATCCTTTCCTCCCTGAAACCAATAAAGAAATATATTATAAAAGTTAAAAAAAATAAAACCAGTAAGCAGGCATTCACCACTCAGGGTCCCCTCAAGGGTCCCCGCAGGCAGAGCCCTGTTCAAAGGTCAGCCCAAACCAAGAAAGGCTGACAGAATGGCTCTTCAGACATCACAACACTCTGACCTTGAGTGGGATTTTCTGCATTTTTTTTTCACATTCTGTACTTTTTTCTTCACTTTGCCCAAAAAACCCCCACATTATAAACAAAAAAACAAGCACTCCCAGTTCTGCCATTAAACCCTTACCTCAAACGCAGCACAGGATTTGATGGGGTAGAGGAAAAGGTTGGTGATGACATGTGGCCCAAGGCCCCCACCCGGGGCTGCTGCCGCTTTCTCTGGAGGGGCCTGCAGGGTCCCGGTGGCCTCCGGCAGAGGCGGGTGCAAACACACAGCACCCACAGCAGGGGGCCAGTCATTCCCGGCCCTGGAGGCTGTGGGGGTGTCTTCCCGAGGAGAGGGACTAGGTCTGTGCCCAGTGGTGGGCACGGTGGCGGGCACGGTGGTGGGCACAGTGGCGAGCACAGTGGTGAGCACAGTGATGGGCATGGTGGCGGGCACGGTGGTGAGCATGGTGGTGGGCACAGTGGCAGGCATGGTGGTGGGCACAGTGGCGGGCACGGTGGTGAGCACAGTGGTGGGCATAGTGGCGGGCACAGTGGTGGGCACAGTGGTGGGCACGGTGGCAGGCACGGTGGTGGGCACAGTGGTGGGCACAGTGGCGGG